TCTTTGAAATGAAAATCACGAGGTTTTCACAGATAAACGAACAAACACTTTTCGTCTTTGTTTTTACTTAGTCAAAATGTAAAAAAAATAAATTTAAAATTTTTTTAAAATAGCAGGGAATCCAATGTTAAACAGTTATGAGGTATTATTTTATGGTATAGCTTGCTTAAGTGCTTAAGTACCCAGTGCATGTCCTATTTACTAATTGACGCAAATAACTTTTTTTTCTCTGGTAGTGGCCATATTTCGTGAAGAATATAGGATAATCGGACAACCCGCCCTCCTCCCCACCCACGGTTACTCACTCACGATTTCTCACTCACATTGTACCCGCGCAGTTGGGGAAGGAAAATTGTCTGCTGGGGGGCTACCCCCTACCCCCGGGGGAGTACGAGAAATTCGTCATCAAGAAATGGATTTATTCAAACATTTGTCGAGCAAATCATGACTTAAAAAATTCTAATATTCGCACTTCTGATAAGCCTCCCCCCCCCCCCGACCCCACCCCCACCACTTTGCCAAAAATTGATGGATTTTTTATTTTTTTTAAGTGTAGTGATGACTCAGACGGGGATATAATATTTTATTCGCGTTTTATCTGGTGGGTGATCGCGGGAAAGGCAGTCGGCATGTTCCCTCGATATGGTCGGTTGCCGGCAGATAAGCCATTGTTTGTGGTGGAAGGTTATCTCAGGCTTGCGTGTTTGTGATGAAGGCGGTTGGCCGTGAATGACGTCACGTAAAAGGGGGGTGGGGGTGGGTGGCGTTTCGTAACAGTGTAGTGCGTTGAAGAAAATAGGTTGAGGAGGCAGGGAGTGGAATAAAAATATGTCGTAACATGCATTTTGGGTTTCTTTGAGTGGGTTAGATATCGGTTAGAATTTTGCGTCCTTTATTCATGACCCACCCATGTCGTTCAAAGGTCAGTGGGTCCAGTAACAAGACTCGTGTGTATGGTATGGGTATGGCAGAGGCGTAGCGAGGGGGGGTACATATGTCCCCGGGCGCCGACCTTAGAGGGCGCCAAAAGGTGTTGAAAAACAAATTAAAATCTCATTTTAGCTGCAGTTTTGCATTATAATTGCATTATAAATATATGGGGGGGGGGGGTGCAAATTGAAAGTTTAAGGGGGGAGGGTGCAAATTGAAAATTGAAAGGTTGCTCCCGAGGGGAGCGCCAAATTGAAAATTTGTCCCCGGGCGCCGGGAAGGGTCGCTACGCCTCTGGGGTATTGTTATGGGTAAAGGGTATGGCTGTGGCAAAAGCTACGGGTATGGATATCGATATGGATATCTATAAGGATATCGCTATCGATTTGGGCATCGGTATGGGTAAGAAGAGTAAGGGTAAGGGTTTTTGGTACGCGTATGCCGTGTTTCTTCCAGACTTATTTCTCCGGGGGGGGGGGGGGGGCGGACAAAATTTTCCGGAGGGGGGGGGCGATCACTGTTAAACGTATATATTTTCTTCTGGGGGTGGTGTCCCCCCTCGAAGAGATGCCTGGAAGAAACTCTGCGCGTATGTGGTAAGGTGTGTGTGTGTGTGTGTGGCTGTGTAGTGTAACAAAACACAAAACACAATCGACAACTAAAATAACGAAAGTAAAAAAACAAAAATCAACCCATTTCAACCGACGATTAAGGAACACACTACAAGATCTACCGCAACTAGCATAACAGCCATAGGCACTCTTCCACAACAAACACCACACACATCAAAATCTTCACTTCCCGTTGCGCTTTCAAACCCGGCAGACCTGAATCGTTTCGCCGTCTGCTGCTCCGATCTGCGATCGTCTGCGTGATTCAATTTCCAAAAGACCGAATCGACGCGAACTCGCGCGGAGACTCCCATTTTATAATCTGAATGTCAGCGAATCATCGAAAGGAAAAAATAATCTGGCAACATCAAAGTCCCGGTGTCGGAGATGAAAACAGTAGACGGCCGAGTGTTTATTTACGGCAACGGATAAGGGAGGTAATCGAGGATACAGTTGCAGAACTGACGACAGTTTTAATGAATGGATTTATTTTGGTAGATGTTAACATATTAACAGATCTAGGCCTGGATTAGATACAGGAAATATTATATATATATATATATATATATATATATATATATATATATATATATATATATATATATATATATATAAGGTGCTTTTTCAAAGTGTATGTAGGGTTTGGGTATAAAGTCTATTATTTTTCTACTATTGCTAAATCCAAAACTGACTCTAATCCTAACAAGAGTTTGAGCCTAAACCCAAATCTTGACTGTAAGCTGGCCGAATGCTTAAATCCAACCAACCTATGTTTTTTTTAAAGACTTTTTGCTGCCAGGGGGTTGGAGGGGGGTCATTGAAACTTCCGGGGGCAAGGTTTCAGGCGCTAGTTAAAGTACAATAGGGGGGGGGGGTGCCATGAACTTTTCCAGGGATGCCAACGATAACGTACTTCGCTGTCGGAAGCTTGATGAAAGCAATGTCTTCTTCAAGTTGAGAGGGATATACGATTTGGGTATGCTTTACGCTTAGGACAAGGTCTTGGTTTAGAACTAGCTTGATGGCTTAGGTTTTAGGTTAGATATCTTAATCGGCGATGACCATTTAAAATATCACATCAGTACGAGAGTTGTTTTATTTTAAAATTTTAACTGGACAACACTCATCCAAAGGTGTGGGGGGGGGGGGGTGTTAGGAAATTTGTCTCTGTGCTAAGGAGAGGGATTCGAGGGAATAACGTCACACTCTTTTATTTTTGAAAACAATTATTTTAACACTAAATTTTGGTAGTTCTTACGAGTTTTTTTTAGGTTTTTAAAATTTTTATACAACAAATTGACTGAATGGGGTCTGCTTAAAATTGTCGTTATTAAACCTAAAAAAAAAACAAAAAAAAAAAAAACATTACGATTCAGGGTGGGAAGGGGGCGGGGTGGAATGGCATTTGTGTGAACTCTATATGGGTTATGAATTTTTGTCTGAAAATGGGGGAGGGGGGGGGGGGGCTAGATCTAAATTAAAAAAAAAAAGAATTCACCACATAGCAATGGAAATAATGATAGTGATAAATGTGAAAATATGCGAATATTTTAAATGCATTCCGCCAAAAGTATGTTCTGTCTGCAATCGACAAAGTTTATTGAAATACAATGATCCTTTACAATGCGTGGTTTAAGTTTGTTTATTTAAAGGAGAACAGTCCAACCCGACACAATGAGGTGTTACGTGGAGTGTGAGAGGGGGTTGTAAGTAAACCGTGTGAGGTGGGAAGGAGGTGGGGGGGGGGGGTAAATATTATAAACTGGTGTGCATCGGATTAGGTGTGAACACATGCCTAGCAGAGGTGGGGGTGGGTGAAAATTGGTATTTAAATCAATGAGGAGTGGGGTTGTAAGTAAAACGTGTGAGGTGGGAAGGTGGTGGTGTTGGTAAATACGATAAACCGGTTTAAATGGGATTAGGTGTGAAAACATATAGAGGGGAGGTGGGGGGGGGGGGGGGGAAAGAAATGTTATCCGATGGGAAAGGAGTGTCTATTTTAACCAAGGGGAGGTAACATTTTTTCCCTTTTAAATAAAGATCGTTACTTTTGCTTAAAATAAATCGTGCGTTAAGTTATACTTTAAGTCCATTACAAGGATGTTTAAACTTGCTCGAGCGAGCTGACGAAGGTCTTGGTTTACTGCTCCAACGTGTGTCGGGACACAGATCACCAGCATGATGTGCACTTTGATGCATTTCACATGCACACTTCAAGAAACTGGAAACTTTAAATAGATTGCCGAGGGCGTTAGATAACTGTTTATTCGTTTATGGTGTTATGCGATGCTTTGTTCGATACGTTTGTATTTCTTATATATATATATATATATATATATATATATATATATATATATATATATATATATATATATATATATATATATATATATATATATATATATATATATATATATATATATATATATATATATATATATATATATATATATTTATATATATATATATATATATATATATATATATATATATATATATATATATATATAATATGCGGGGAGAGCACTCTCAACCTGATCAGATGAAGTAGAGTATCTGCTTTAGATAACTCGGCATATGAATGGATTGTGTGGTCAGCACTATGCCCAGTCGCCTTTATTTTCCCTAATGCGAGTTAGGTACCCATCATAGCTCAGTGGACTCAATCGCGCTCTGCACCCGGATTAGAAAAGGGAGAGCACTGTCTGAAACACACTTTTCTCTATCCTTCTTCAATGCTTTGAATTTAATGTAAAGGTAAACTTTGAGACAAACCAGGCTTAGTAGAAGGGTGGGGGGAAAGCTTAGGGTTAATTGGGGAAAAAATCTGATGTTGTTAATCAGTTAATGGGTGTAACTTTGCCAAACTGTGTTGGTTATTTCTTGACATTTTTAAACTTAATATACAGCTTATAGTATTATTTAAATAAATAAAGAAAAAGAAATATTATAACTTCTCTAAAATACAAGGTCATAAGAAAAAAAAAACTAGTACCAAGGTCCAAAAATTCAGAAAATAACGAAAACCACGGATTTCTTTAATAAATACATCAAGAAATAATACACGGTAATTGACATTTTGACCCTTCATGTTTTCCCTTCAAGAAACAAACACCGGCTTATGCCTTTCTCTGAGCTGGAGTAACATACAAAGGGAAAAAACTGAAGGTCAGGGATACAGTTGTGGCCCATTGTTTATTTCTCGAGGTTTACTTTTGTGTGTAGACCGTCTGGTTCTCAGTGAAGATTCTGTTGTAGCTTATGGTGTGGCTTATGGTGTGCCTTCTGGTGTAGCTTATGGTGTTGCTGTGTACCTTCTGGTGTAGCTTCTGGTGTAGCTTATGGTGTTGCTGTGTACCTTCTGGTGTAGCTGTGTACCTTCTGGTGTACCTTCTGGTGTAGCTTCTGGTGTAGCTTATGGTGTAGCTGTGTACCTTCTGGTGTACCTTCTGGTGTAGCTTATGGTGTAGCTTCTGGTGTAGCTGTGTACCTTCTGGTGTAGCTGTGTACCTTCTGGTGTAGCTGTGTACCTTCTGGTGTAGCTGTGTACCTTCTGGTGTAGCTTATGGTGTAGCTTCTGATGTAGCTTCTGGTGTAGCTTCTGGTGTAGCTTCTGGTGTAGCTTCTGGTGTAGCTTCTGGTGTAGCTGTGTACCTTCTGGTGTAGCTGTGTACCTTCTGGTGTAGCTTCTGGTGTAGCTGTGTACCTTCTGGTGTAGCTGTGTACCATCTGGTGTAGCTTATGGTGTAGCTTCTGGTGTAGCTTCTGGTGTAGCTGTGTACCTTCTGGTGTAGCTGTGTACCTTCTGGTGTACCTTCTGGTGTAGCTTCTGGTGTAGCTTCTGGTGTAGCTTCTGGTGTAGCTTCTGGTGTACCTTCTGGTGTAGCTTATGGTGTAGCTGTGTACCTTCTGGTGTAGCTTATGGTGTACCTTCTGGTGTGCCTTCTGGTGTAGCTTCTGGTGTAGCTGTGTACCTTCTGGTGTGGCTGTGTACCTTCTGGTGTAGCTGTGTACCTTCTGGTGTAGCTTCTGGTGTAGCTTCTGGTGTAGCTGTGTACCTTCTGGTGTAGCTGTGTACCTTCTGGTGTAGCTGTGTACCTTCTGGTGTAGCTGTGTACCTTCTGGTGTAGCTTATGGTGTAGCTTCTGGTGTAGCTGTGTACCTTCTGGTGTACCTTCTGGTGTAGCTGTGTACCTTCTGGTGTAGCTTATGGTGTACCTTCTGGTGTAGCTGTGTACCTTCTGGTGTAGCTGTGTACCTTCTGGTGTAGCTTATGGTGTAGCTTCTGGTGTAGCTTCTGGTGCAGCTGTGTACCTTCTGGTGTAGCTTATGGTGTAGCTTCTGGTGTAGCTGTGTACCTTCTGGTGTAGCTGTGTACCTTCTGGTGTAGCTGTGTACCTTCTGGTGTACCTTCTGGTGTAGCTTCTGGTGTAGCTTCTGGTGTAGCTTCTGGTGTAGCTGTGTACCTTCTGGTGTAGCTGTGTACCTTCTGGTGTAGCTGTGTACCTTCTGGTGTAGCTGTGTACCTTCTGGTGTAGCTGTGTACCTTCTGGTGTACCTTCTGGTGTAGCTTCTGGTGTAGCTTCTGGTGTAGCTGTGTACCTTCTGGTGTAGCTTATGGTGTAGCTTATGATGTAGCTTCTGGGGTAGCTTCTGATGTAGCTTCTGGTGTAGCTTCTGGTGTAGCTTCTGGTGTACCTTCTGGTGTAGCTTATGGTGTAGCTGTGTACCTTCTGGTGTAGCTTATGGTGTACCTTCTGGTGTGCCTTCTGGTGTAGCTTCTGGTGTAGCTGTGTACCTTCTGGTGTAGCTTATGGTGTAGCTTCTGGTGTAGCTTCTGGTGTACCTTCTGGTGTAGCTGTGCACCTTCTGGTGTAGCTGTGTACCTTCTGGTGTAGCTTATGGTGTAGCTTCTGGTGTAGATTCTGGTGTAGCTTCTGGTGTAGCTTCCGGTGTAGCTTATGGTGTAGCTTATGGTGTAGCTTCTGGTGTAGCTGTGTAACTTCTGGTGTAGCTGTGTACCTTCTGGTGTAGCTTCTGGTGTAGCTTCTGGTGTAGCTGTGTACCTTCTGGTGTAGCTTATAGTGTAGCTTATGGTGTAGCTGTGTACCTTCTGGTGTAGCTGTGTACCTTCTGGTGTAGCTTATAGTGTAGCTTATGGTGTAGCTGTGTACCTTCTGGTGTAGCTTATGGTGTAGCTTCTGGTGTAGCTTCTGGTGTAGCTGTGTGCCTTCTGGTGTAGCTTATGGTGTAGCTTCTGGTGTAGCTTCTGGTGTAGCTGTGTACCTTCTGGTGTAGCTGTGTACCTTCTGGTGTAGCTTATGGTGTAGCTTCTGGTGTAGCTTCTGGTGTAGCTGTGTACCTTCTGGTGTAGCTTATAGTGTAGCTTATGGTGTAGCTGTGTACCTTCTGGTGTAGCTTATGGTGTAGCTTCTGGTGTAGCTTCTGGTGTAGCTGTGTGCCTTCTGGTGTAGCTTATGGTGTAGCTTCTGGTGTAGCTTCTGGGGTAGCTTCTGGTGTACCTTCTGGTGTAGCTTATGGTGTAGCTTCTGGTGTAGCTTCTGGTGTAGCTTATGGTGTAGCTTATGGTGTAGCTGTGTACCTTCTGGTGTAGCTTATGGTGTACCTTCTGGTGTACCTTCTGGTGTAGCTGTGTACCTTCTGGTGTAGCTTATGGTGTAGCTGTGTACCTTCTGGTGTAGCTTATGGTGTAGCTTCTGGTGTAGCTTCTGGTGTAGCTTCTGGTGTAGCTTCTGGTGTAGCTTATGGTGTAGCTTATGGTGTAGCTGTGTACCTTCTGGTGTAGCTGTGTACCTTCTGGTGTAGCTTATGGTGTAGCTTCTGGTGTAGCTGTGTACCTTCTGGTGTAGCTGTGCACCGTCTGGTGTAGCTGTGTACCTTCTGGTGTAGCTGTGTACCTTCTGGTGTAGCTTATGGTGTAGCTTCTGGTGTAGCTTCTGGTGTAGCTTCTGGTGTAGCTTCTGGTGCAGCTTATGGTGTAGCTTATGGTGTAGCTGTGTACCTTCTGGTGTAGCTGTGTACCTTCTGGTGTAGCTTATGGTGTAGCTTCTGGTGTAGCTGTGTACCTTCTGGTGTAGCTGTGCACCGTCTGGTGTAGCTGTGTACCTTCTGGTGTAGCTGTGTACCTTCTGGTGTAGCTTCTGGTTTAGCTGTGTACCTTCTGGTGTAGCTTCTGGTGTAGCTGTGTAGCTTCTGGTTTAGCTGTGTACCTTCTGGTGTAGCTGTGTTCCTTCTGGTGTACCTTCTGGTGTAGCTTTGTACCCTCTAGTGTAGCTTCAGGTGAAGTATGTTGTCCTGTTTCCGGCTGGTTCATACGCATTGGCGTAGCAACCATGTATCCATTCATCCCCGCGGTGCCAAGAGTTAGGTAAAATTGAATAGTCCTAGAAACCATTGACTCTCTTGAAAACATATTTTTAGTATTGGAGAGATTTGGCAAACTGGTCGAAAATAAACACTTCAAGGTACATAGTGTACGCTTATAATAATGTAGCTTTTAATAAATTATCATGGTTTCAGCTTACAGCATATACCCAAACATTATATTTATTTTGATAAGAAATAAAAAATAGTAGAATAAATAGCAAACACTATTTATGTTATACAGCATATGTAAAGTATATTCTTTAATAAAATTAAAAACAAATGTTATTAAATATCATTCATAACTTTATTAAAGAGGGTTACTAGTTTCCCCTACTTTTGAAAGCTGCAAAATCAGCGTATGTTTTGGAAATAAGTGTCCCCTAGTCATTTAATGTTCCCCGGTCCCCGGCTCATCTGTCACGCCACTGTTCATACGACTTGCATGGGCGGCGACTGGGCTGCGACGTTGGTACCCCTTATTTCAACGTATAATTTTAATTAATTAAGCATACAAATATACTTAAATTAGATTTCAAATGGTTATAGATATATATCGTTAAAAGATGAGGAAAAAACTTGAATTCTGAAGATTATATTTTAATAATGACGTGGAGAATGTAAATAGATAAATCTGTATCATTGGTAAAACGTGACTGAAGGCTAATCTTAAGTAGGCAGATGGCGGATTGATTTGGGGACGGAAAGTTTAGTTGTTCTAGATTACAGGGGTCTCCAAACTACGGCCCGCGGGCCGGATGCGGCCCGCGAAGTCCTCTCATCCGGCCCGCGGAGATCTTTTTGTCCAAGGAAAAATCGTTTGTTGGTGATGGCTGAGGAACTTTGCCCAAAAAAATCAAAGACATGCCTGGAAGAAACTGGCCCCGAACTGAAATTTGATAGTTAATGCGGCCCTCGGACTGAAAAGTTTGGAGACCCCTGTTCTAGAATATAAAAAAAGTATTACGAAGCAGAGACGTAGCGAGGGGGGGGGGGGGGGCGGGGTGGGGGAGACATATGTCCCCAGGCGCCGACCTTAGGGGGGGGGGGGGGGGGAGGCCAAAATGGGTTGGAAAAACAAATTGAAAGTTTGAGGGGGGGGGTGCAAATCGAAAGTTTGTCCCTGGGCGCCGGAAAGGGTCGCTACGTCTCTGTTACGAAGCAAGTATTCTAATAGAAACTCGTCATCGTTTTGATATATAACACTAAAACACATTTCATTATCGACACAGTCCCATTGGCCTAGTGATAATATCTTTTTACGCATGCGCATTCGGTCCCGGAACCTTAGACCGCAGTTCTAGATAGATACCTTTGACGTGGATTCTTTATTTTGTTACACACTTCGGAATTGGTCGGCTAATTAGTCCCCAAATCTTACAAAAGCGTGCTAATTAACTCCGAACTTTGATTAGGGTTAACTAATTAGTCAGCCAACTTTACCCATCTAAAAAAAATAATCCTGTACTGATATTGACCACCTGCGGGTGTGACCTATATAACAACAGGATGACGTATGATCACTGTGATATATAGGTCACACTCCGGGGCATTTCACAGTAAACGGATATGCCTGATGTAGCACTAGACGATATCGTTTGAGCCGGTGAGTTAATCCGTCAAAAGACCAGGGGCGATTAACGGGGGCGATAATCCAGCGATTAGGGGTCGTAACAAATATCCTGGCACCCAGATCTTGTTTTAGATAGCCAGCTCGCTAAGTTGAGTTTCTTTGAACGTCTTTGACGCGATGTTAAACATATCCGTTGTACATCGTCTTCTGGGGCTACCCAGAGAGAGAAAAAAAACATGTAAACAGGTGTAGGGTTTCTTTCAGACCTTTAGCTCAATGTGTGTGTGTGTGTGGAAGATGTGGGGGGGGGGGATTGTGGATCTTCCGGGGATGGTGGGGGGATTTATTATAAGAATAGTTAATGTTTATAGTCTTATACCTTTTTTATTTGGATTAAAATTTGCTATTTGTTCCATTTTGTACGGTGCATTGGCTTAAGACTTAGATCTAAAGAAAAGACAAATGAGGGGGAGGGGGGAGGGACTCCCTCTGCCTCCACCCCCCTATCGGATGTTAGACATCACAAAACGTTATCTAATAGCTATTTAAAAAATTAAAAAAAAATTCCGTGAGAGTGACTGGGGCCGCTATAAAAGTTTTAGCAAGCAAACACGTTCCTTCTAAAAATCTCTCCCCCGATTGTCAAAAGTACTTATTACCATTTTAAAAAAAAACATATTTTAAATTCTTACAAAAAAAATATTAACGGAATGAACACTATTTTATGCTTAAAAAAAAACGAGTTTAAAAAGATATTCTCGTCCTGTATCGTCGTGAAATCTAGGAGAATTGGGCTTTGTTGTATGGTAGTCAGACAACTTGTCTACGCTGTTGTTTGATTGTATCAATGGATTTATTAAGGTTGCTATCGCCTTGTATCAATGGATTTATTAAGGTTGCTATCGCCGTCCTTCTCTTGCAGACAACAATGGGTGGGTCTGTGGCGGGGGATATAAGGGGAAATCTGCACTTTATGTTCAGGGGTGGGGGAGTGGTGGGGAAACACAGGGAGTGGGGGTGGAGTAATATGGGATGTGGGGGTGGAGTAAGTATGGGATGTGGGGTGGGGATGAGGTGGAGTAAGTATTGGATGTGGGGGTGGGGTAAGTATGGGATGTGGGGTGGAGTATTGGATGTGGGGGTGGGGGTGGGGTAAGTATGGGATGTGGGGGTGGAGTATTGGATGTGGGGGTGGGGGTGGGGTAAGTATGGGATGTGGGGTTGGGGTGGAGCAAGTATGAGGTTTGATAGTGGAGTAAGTGTGGGATTTGGGGGTGGTGGAGTAAGTATGGGATGTGGGGGTGGGGTAAGTATGGGATGTGAGGGTGGAGTATTGGATGTGGGGGTGGGTTAAGTATGGGATGTGGGGGTGGAGTATTGAATGTGGGGGTGGGGTAAGTATGGGATGTGAGGGTAAAATAAGTAAGGAGTGTGAGGGAGGATTAAGTATAGGAAGTATGAGAACTTCACTAGAGGAAAATGTAGCGATGGTTTGGGAACAAAACAGCAGCGGTGGGGTAAAAACACCAGACGTGACAAGGTCTACGCTCGCCATGAAGTTACCTTGCCCTAATTCTAGCCCAAACTGAAAACCTGACCCTAACCCGAAGCCTGACGTTACTAAAAGAAACGTGTAAAAACAACCTTTTAAACGAAATTGTATATTGCTCTAACGTTTTTTTTTTTTTCAACAATCTACATGAGGGCTGGGGAGGGAAGAGGTGGCACAGCATTAAGGGAAGGTGCACAAACAAAACTAGGATGGGGGGGGGGGGGGTGTCCGGGGGTGGGGAGGGGGGGGGGCTTGGGGGGTTCCGGTTAGACACAATAACAGGTCGGTCAGCCGGTACGAATTAACAAAAAGGTGTCGAAGTCATGAAGGCCTGACCGACACAGATACAAACTGCCTGACCGACACAGATACAAACTGCCTGACCGACACAGATACAAACCGACTGACTGACACAGATACAAACTGACTGACTGACACAGATACAAACTGACTGACTGACACAGATACATACTGACTGACTGACACAGATACAAACTGACTGACTGACACAGATACAAACTGACTGACCGACACAGATACAAACTGACTGACAAAGATACAAACTGACTGACTGACACAGATACAAACTGACTGACTGACACAGATACAAACTGACTGACTGACACAGATACAAACTGCCTGACCGACACAGATACAAACTGACTGACTGACACAGATACAAGCTGACTGACTGACACAGATACATACTGACTGACTGACACAGATACAAACTGACTGACTGACACAGATACAAACCGACTGACTGACACAGATACAAACCGACTGACTAACACAGATACAAACTGACTGACTGACAGATACAAACCGACTGACTGACACAGATACAAACTGACTGACTGACACAGATACAAACTGACTGACTGACACAGATACAAACTGACTGACTGACACAGATACAAACTGCCTGACCGACACAGATACAAACTGACTGACTGACACAGATACAAGCTGACTGACTGACACAGATACATACTGACTGACTGACACAGATACAAACTGACTGACTGACACAGATACAAACCGACTGACTGACACAGATACAAACCGACTGACTAACACAGATACAAACTGACTGACTGACACAGATACAAACCGACTGACTGACACAGATACAAACTGACTGACTGACACAGATACAAACTGACTGACTGACACAGATACAAACTGACTGACTGACACAGATACAAACTGACTGAAAAACACATATACAAACTGTCCGGACCGACAACGCTACAAACAAGCCTCCCCCAACTGACAAGTTACTAAACCAAAACTTATCTAATCCAGCAATCCTATCCCGTAACACAAGACTCGATACAGACGGTGTTGACACTATTAGCTAGAAAAATATCCCATTCACGGGGAGACAACCCTACAAAAATCTGTAGAAAAATATCCCATTCACGGGGAGACAACCCTACAAAATCTGACGACTCGCAGAAATTTTTTTCTCAAGCTCAGGTTTCAGGTTTTCCATAAGCTGACAAAAGGTCTCCTAGTGCCAGCGGTTTTTATTGCCGTCGGATTCTGTTGCCGACGAAAACTCTCGCTGCCTGTGATTTTATTGCCGACAAAAATTCGTAATGTAAATTATTCTATTTCCGACGAAAATTCGAAATGTTAATATTATTTCCGACGAAAAACAAGTAGTGCTAATGCTTCTAATTCCGAAGACTGATACCTTTTTCCCATGTCGACGACTCCTATTGCCAACGATTCTGCTACCGACAAAAGACTCCAGACGCCGACAAATGAATCCTAATCCGACCTATAGATATAATAATAAGTTTCTAAAGACATAAAACATAAATAATGTGAGGTTGGATATTTTTAAAAAGTTTTTACATAGGCCATAAATGTCTGTCTATGGGTGTGTTTACGGTAAAATCTTGTAACTCATGTTTGACCCACTTCTACTGCAGCGATGTCGTTCAAAATTTTCCGATAAATTCGTTTCGAATGACAACGCACGAATATCTTACTTACAATCTAATCAGTCATTAAAATTATAGTTTTACATTACATTAAACAAACACCATCATTTATTTTCTGACTTTTAGTGCATTTAAAAGTTTATTATCATGAAGGTTTTGAAAAAAATATTGTTTTTTTACATACTCTTTTTTTCTTCTAAACGCTACATAATACAGGAATAAAAATTAAAGCAAGCGAAATAGCTCGAATTTAAATTCTTATGTTGATAAAAACCATCCACTTTACGGATGCTGTCGATGCGACATAAAGCTGTAAAACCTGTAATGTGAGCACCAGCATAGGGCAACATGTTTTTGTACCTTGACCAATGTGAAGTTACCCTAATGAACTTGGCGACCCATCGGTCAGATGAAGTAGAACTCACTTGTTTCTGTGACCTCAGTGCAGTGGCGTAGCGAGGGTGGGGGGGTACATATGTCCCCGGGCGCCGACCCTAGGGGGCGCCAAAATGGGTTGAAAAAAAAAATTGGAATATCATTTTAGCTGCATTTTTACATTATAAATATAAAAAAATATTTGGGGGGGGGGGGGGGGGCGCCAAATTGAAAGTTTGTACCGGGCGCTGGGAAAGATCTCTACGCCTCTGCCTCAGCCCCAGAAAGTCAACTCTATGCCCAGCCGTCTTTACCTTCCCTAACGTGAGTCAAATACCCATTAAAGTTAGCTGGACTCAGGGACGTCATACGGACACGAGCCCGGGATTTGAACTCGAAACATTCAGGTTAGACGTCATGCGCTCTACCATCCGACCACGCCGTCCTACACCAGTGCGACTATAACGACGTTGAGATGTCCATAAAATAATTTCATTAATATAATTGTGATGACGCTAGTTTAGGTCGGATAGGTCAAGTAGAAGAAGTTAATGGTAAGAAACAGGCTATAGCTAGTTGGTTAGAGAGACAAATGAAAGTACAGGAGCTGACCGGTCACGTGGGACGGTCAGCTGACCACTGAAGCGTGGGTCAGTAGTTAGGCCAGGCAGTTGACACCCCCACCCTCACAACCAGCGGAAGATCTTCTATTCACCCCCACCCTCACAATAATTAATCAAAAATCGCAGAAACCAGATCTTGGGAGTTTGCTGTGCTCAGGGTAAGTTTCGAAACATTTCTTCCAGGACGTTTGCCTAGAAGGCGAATACTTAATACACCCAGACGCCATAAAAAAATTGCCCCGCCCCCCCCCCTCGTTAAATTACTTTGTTTATTGTGAAGCTCTGCCCTGTCTAAACTTTATGGCGAAAAAAAAAAGATTTCTGTGATGTAGGCAGAGGCCACAGGGTTGATTTGAAAACGTAACTTTAAAATTAAAGCTCCTGCGTATTATAGCTCAATTCTTTTTGCAAGGCGTTTGGGGGGGGGGGGGGGGGGGGAAGGCGGTGGGTGGGCAATGTACGGAGGTTAGAGACTAACATAAACTCTACTGCATCTGCCTTTCCTCCCATGTACCTCACTATTCCCCCCCCCCCCCCCAAAAAAAAGACGACACCCCGTTGTACAGATTCCCCACTCACAAACAATCCCTTATTGACAAACATATAAAACTTCATTATTAAAAAAATCTCCACCTCGGAGATTTCTAAACCCTCTCTATAATTTAAAAAAGAATTATTGTTTTTTTTATTTGTCAAAAAAAAAATTAAAAAAAATAAAATAAAACTTAACAAAACTTGGTCTCAATTTCAGACCCCCACCTGTCCCCTCCCCCCCCCCCCCCCCCACCCTCCATCGTCACCTACCCCAGCCCTCTTAGTGTGTAACGTCATTTGCATTACCTACCCGACTTAATTAAAAACGAAAGGTTATCAAATATTCTTTATTGAACAGAAAAAAAAGGTAAGCCTAAATTTTACCCTGGCCCCCAAAGCCTTCGTCTCTTTATTTACACGGGTGCAGTTCTATTTCTTTGAAGTCCTACCGTCTGTCCTCACACCCCCACCCCTTTCTCTCCCCACCCCTCACACCCCACGTCACCCGGCTCAAGCAAGGGAGGTAATTGTTATGGGGTTTTCTTCCTGGCACGAGTGAAGGAAGGGGCAGGGAACTCCGCGTTGACACGCAGTGGTGGTGGGGTTCACCCGGCACGTTGATACAATGGACAGAACCTGGAAATATATATGTCAGCTCGCCTCACTGTCATAGCATTAGATGGTGCTGAGCCGGAAGAGTTCAAGTTCGTGGGGGTGGAAAGGATTTTTTTTTCTTTCTACTTCTTGGTACAATTTCTATTTCAGTGTGTGTTCATTGGGTGTAAAGGTAAGCAACATTGCCGTGATTTCTTTAAATAATACTTTATTGAGTGAACGTATTAGAAGCTACTAATCCAGTGTTGAAGTAAGCCGAATCCAAGTTTTAAAAATCTTATCCAGTGGATATTAATACTTAAACCTCAGTGGATAATTAACTTCTTTTATCTTCAGTTATCCGGTAAGAAATGTATCTATATTTTCTTACCATATCCATTTGTCGTTGATAGCCCAAATATATTATTTGCTTGTAACAAATACCATTGATGTAGATAGCTAATAAATATTACTTATCTAAGTAGCCCTACGTTCTTACTAGATCTAAATCAAATGGAAAACCATAGTCGTACTTGCTTAGAGATTATTAAGTTGCTAATTCGATAACAACCACTTGAATTATCTACTAGCTAATGTAAGAAATGTGATTGGAATGGCTTGTTATCCATAGGGTTGCCAGGTGTCCAGTTTTGAACTGGACAGTCCAGTATTTGAGCAGACTGTCCAGGATAAAATAAATATAAATACTGGACAAGTATATGAATAATACTCTGTTACCCCTTCTTCTGCTTTGCGGCATACCTGAGAAGGGAAGGATGGAAAGGTGTCCAGTATTTTCGGAAAAGGTATCTGGCAACCCTAGTTATCCAGTCATTACATGGCTTTAATTAATTGAAACAACTAAGCCATGAATTTAAATGGCCAACGGCTCTGAGTAAAACGGTGACGGCCACTGTTTTTATTTCTGTTACGGCTATCTTAGCCTCTGTTTTACCGGATAATTGACCGAAGAAACGTCTTGTTTTAAATAGATAACAGTAGCACTCATGCCTTGCTGCGAAAACCTGCAGTCTTTATCCAATCTTGTCGTCAGTTCACTGTGTCGTTTACAGATCGAATCGCTGTGTTATCAGAGGCTAGCGCAGCACACTGACCCAAAAGGTCAGAAGGTCAGTCGACCATAACAAAAGACCATGAACTACACATGGGGTCGCAGTTAGGGTTCGATTGTGTCTTAACGTCGCGTTTAGTAACTCGTTAGGGCTGAAACTGATAGCTACTAAACTGTTAGTTTAGAAAGAAACTAAAACCCAACACTACGCTATCTAAGGAACGTTATTTTTTATTTTTTATTTTAGATGTAGATTTTCTTTGGAGAAAATAGCGTGTGTTTGTGTGTGTGTGTGTGTGTGTTTGCTTAGGGCTTACACGCTTGTGTAGCCATACATAGTTTGAAGAATGTATAATCTTCTTAACATACATATTCATGTGAATGAACTTTTTATAAACTATATGAATGAATTTCTCAACATACATACGAATGAACTTATATGAATGAATTTCTTAACACACATACGAAAGACATTTTCATAAAATATATGAATGAATTTCTTAACATGCATACTAATTAACCTTTCAACAAACATATAATTGAACGTTTCAACAAAAATATTAACTTCTTAACATACAGAAGAATAAACTTTTCTTAAAACATCTAAATGAACGTTCATCATATATAAACACGTTCGAACGAAGCGAGTAAAACCCAGATAAGAAAACTTGCTAGATATGCCTTGCAATCGTTGCCCCACTGTGTAAATAAATTACAGGTCCCCTGCGATGGGGTTAAAAAGTAGGGGTGTCTTATGTTAGGGCCAGGGTACTGTAGCATAGACCTACATCATAGTTTGACTCAGTTACCCTTTTGAACTATTTGTCTATTTGTGAACTATTAGTCTATTTTAAACTATCATGAACTGTTTGGGTACTTTCTTATAAGTTTTAATTTTTTTTAAATAGTTCTATGATATAAATTATGGATGGCGTGGCATAGACTGCTAGGCTGCTTACCCGAAAGTCTCGAGTTCGAATCCGGATCTAAATCAGCATAACGTTCCCGAGTCAACCCAACTCTAATTGGTACCTATTTCATGTTAGGGAAATTAAAGGCGGCTGGGCAAAGTGCTGACTACACCTTCCGTTCATATGCCGAGGTAAGGAAACATATAAACTCCACTTCATCTGCTCAATGGAACGCTAGGTCTAAAGAGGAATCTTTACTTTTATTTTATGATATATAATTTTAGCTGAATTATTAATTTACCAGTCTTCTTCATATTGTTAACAACAATAATAATAATACGAAAAAAAAGTTTCGCTTCCATTTATTTAAAAAAAATAGTTTCGTGTAAGTCAGCGAAAAATCAAAACAAAAACCCAGCCGACTAAACACAAGGTCGTTTAGACAGGCTTCACTAAACCCACTTTTCACGTGAGCGAAAATACCCACCTCACCCCAACTTCCTTCGAGTTATTCAAAACATCCGCTTCTCTCATCAAGACAGATTGAAACCGTTTTGAACGAGATCTAACGTTCAAGACTAGTTCCAGCGGGTCCCCACTTTTACTCACAAGGGGGAGGGAGGGGGGGGGGGGGAAGGTGTACTACCAGGTCACGTGGTAGATGTTAACTAGGTCACCACCATCTTTTCAACTACAAAAAAATCCCCCCCCCCCGTTGCCTTAAAGGTCATGTTTATTAAGATGTTTGCAGAAACTGCCCCGAGGTATTCCCGTCTAGCCCCCGGGGTACGGGGGGCGACAGGGCTGGAATCCCTGATTAAAATAGTCTCCTACAGAGCGGCGCGGGTCGACGCGGGGAACAGCTCGTTAGCTTGGCACCGGCACATGTGGCGCGGGCATTTCTGGTGCGGCGGGCATTTCTTTTTGGTACGGCGGGCATTTCTTTCTGGTGCGGCGGGCATTTCTTTTTGGTGCGGTGGGCATTTCTCTTTGCTGCGGTGGGCATTTCTTTCTTGTACAGGGGCATTTCTTTCTGGTGTGGTGGGCATTTCTTTCTGGTACGGGGTCATTTCGGGTGTGGCCGGCTGTTCGGGTACGGATATCTGTTTTGTGTGGATATCTGTCGGACCCCTGTTGAATGGACTTTTGGATGCTTGAAGTACCCCCGCCATAGCGTCTCCACCTAAAACTGTATGTGTGTGTATATCTATAAGACCAGAGCGGGACATTGTCCCTCACCGTTACCCCCCCGGTCATTTTCCTCTCGACTTTACCTTAAGATCAATTATCACACTGATAAATTACCCCCCCCCCACCACGGTTCTTCTGGTCGGCAAAGTACGTAATACAATATATTTTATGCACTGTCGTCACATTTCAGGCAACTTATATAATATATTGCAGAGTTTCTCACATTGGCGTAACATGGGGAGGGGGGGAGGGCAGTGACCGGGAGGTTATGTAAGGGGGCGGGGTGTCATTGACAAAGTGCTTTGTCGGGGATCCGTATACAAAGTATAATTATGAACAGCAAAGCTGGTGCAGTGTTTTCGATGCTTGCCGCCCCAGATTCACAGATTCTCTTGTAATGGTTTAATACGTTATATTTGACTGGTTCTCTCTCTCTCAGTGTTTCTTCCAGACGTTTTTCTCCGGAGGGGGGGGGGGGGGGACTTGACTTTCTTCGGGGGGGGGGGGGGGGCGGACACTGTTAAAAGTATATATTTTCTATATAAATTTCATTTCGTTCGGGGGGGGGGGGGGGGCAGTAGACTTTCTTCGGGGGGATGGGGCTCCACCCCCCCCCCCCCCCCGAAGAGATGTTTGGAAGAAACTCTGCTCTCTCTCTCTCTCTCACACACACACCAAAAAACTTTCCCAACTGTTCGTACAACTAAGAAAGTTATTTGAACCTTTCCACAAAGAATTAAAACATTTGTTTTCTTGTAATTTTTCTTTAATTTAAAGTGTCGATACTTAAAAATCAATAGTTTACAACTTTTTTTTTCTATTGGCAGTTTTAAATTTTAAATGGTTCTTTAAAATGTGCTGACCATTGGACCTTTTTCTAGTTACCAGAGGCAATTTGTTAAGCCATTAGGATGGTCGAGTAATAGAGCCTTTGACTGCTATTCCCGAAACTCTCCAGCTCTATTACGTATCCAAGTCGTGCCGCGGTTGGAATATTATCTTATCACTCAACACCTTCATGCGCTGAGGTAAAAGATCAAATAATAGATCAGTGGTTATGCATGACTGAACCCGTGTTCGAAAAGTCATTTTAGCCCCGTATCTGCAAGATCTGTAAGCATAAACTAAAACATCTACTTTATTTCTGCATGAAAATCTACACTAAAAATACGAAATAAATTCTCAAAAAGCTATACAAGAGCTAAAGAATGACCTTGCTTGGATCAAATTTATTGCGCGGATAGTTTTGAGCTTTAAGTCATCTGGGAAGGGATGGGAAGGGAAAGACCACGACGACATAATAGCCTAATCGATTTCTGAGATATTCGGTCAAGTGATCACTTAACTCTTTCGTCCCCGAGAATTCAAGTGCTACTCTCTGTGATGTTTTAAAATCTGAAGCGGGTATCCTTTGAGGTCGGCGGATTTTCTATAGCTATTTGTTCTCTCTTTCCTTTTATTTTTTGTTGTGATTTTTAAATGGCCCTCTCTGTCCTTGGAAGATGTTTTAAGTCGGCGAAATATGTAGGGTAAAATGCGATCGTCGTTTGCATGAAATAAATACGTTTATCTTGATTTTGTGTGTGTGTATGTGTGTGTGTGAGAGAGAGAGGGGGGGGGAGGGCTGTAGAAGTAATTATAAATAGAGAATATTTTGTTATTCACAATGTCGGATTAAGCTTTTAGTGGGACCCCATGATTATTATTTTTTCCCTATGAGGCCCCCTGTGATGTTAAGGGCAATAAGATCACATCAGTATATAGGGAGCAGTGGCCGCGGTACAATTTATTCTTTAAAAGGGTCAGAGGAGGTTTATAAACGGGTGTTGTGCGCATGTTGAGGGGGTGGGGGCAGAGCCGGCGTTAGGAATACGCGGGGCCTAGGGCCAACCATCCGCGCGGGGCCTGCTTTTTTCCATTATATATATATATATATATATATATATATATATATATATATATATATATATATATATATATATATATATATGTGTGTGTGTGTGTGTGTGTGTGTGTATAGTCCTATATAATATGCATACACACATAATAACACATAAATGTTTTGGAGTCTATAAGACTTTAATAACAGATGTTTACCTCTCCCACGTTTTAACCCAATGTTCTTAGTTTTTTTTTCCTTGCTAAGATATTTAATAACTTTTGACAGATATGTAATTCATACCAAATCACTTAAGAAAATTCAATCACGTGCCAAATAATTAGGAAAATAAAGTTGTTTAAATTGTTTTTGATGACTAATTGTTAATAAAAAAGCATGGGCGTAGCGAGGGGGGGGGGGTGCGGACCATTTAGTGGGGGGGGGGGGGGTGAGACCAAGGCAAAAAAAAATAGCAAAACATATACAAAAAATGATAGTTCCACTTTAAAAAGTGGTTAATTAGAGTGTTAAATAGTCTGTTAAGAGCAAATTTGATAAATTCCGACAAGGGTGGAGGGGGGGGGGGGGGGGCTGGTGGTGACACCATGACGTAAACCTGCTACTGATAGAGAAAACATGCTACATCAACACTTTTAACTTTCTTTAAAAAAAATAATAATAAATCACTCTGTCTAATGCCCCTTGATATAGATCCTAAGGCCCCCCCCCCCCCTCATCGCCCTCTTCCCACCCCTCTGCACGCAACTGAATGTTAATTTTGTTATACCAAGACAAGTAGGGCTACATATACGACATCTACAACAAGAAAGTCAGGACTAGCGTTCATCAGGTCACTAACTGTCTACTACAGGCATCCCTCTGCTCACTAAAAGGACGTCTTCATCGGTCCGCATACAATAGAGTATCTTTTTACCTGTTCCCCAAATTTACATCCCATGTCAGGTCGGGGGCTGATTCGCTTCCAACAATCTCCAGTCACCTCAGGTCAAATGCCAGGCCACCGTACCCTACACAAAGGGGAGGTGTGTGACACTATTTCAGTATCGAATTACGGCCTTTCCCAGTTCGGGTGGGTGATAACTCACTAACACCAACCGTTAGTGAGTTATCACCCACCCGAACTGGGAAAGGCCAATCAACAACTTCGGCATTCGACCATTTAGTTTTTCCCCACTGAATTCAGCAACAATTTATTTAAGTTTACAAACTAATTAAGATAACAATGACAGTGCTGAAGCGCGGGGCCCCTTCAACCGCGGGGCCTAGGGCGGCCGCCCCGTTTGCCACCCCCTAACGCCGGCTCTGGGTGGGGGTGCACCCCCCCCCCTGAGAAGAAACAAACGAGTGCTAGGGTAAGCGCGAGAGGTTTTACAAATAAATGTACAATCTGTGTAAATATGCAGGTAAAGTGTCATTAAAACACGCGTTATAAAAATGCTTTGTCTTAAAATGTTTAATAGACGTTATCAATGGAACAGTTACTCAATAGTGGTATGTCTTTATTTCAAATCTTACATCTTTATTTTTTTTTAAACATAAAACTTTTAAATATATTGAGTGGCATTGTTTCTATTGAAAATGTAACAGACATTTTTCCTCAGGGATCAAATTAAACTTATTTTTTTAATCCATTAAGTTTCGTACAACCAAATTCATTTCGTCGTTTATGGAAAAGTCGAGTGGAATTTTTAAAAACTGTTTTATAGTATCAGATATGGTTTTCTACAGGGATGTAATACAATGCAATATGAGATTAGGGTATGTAAAAAAAATCTTTGTTTTTAACTTATATTTAAAAAATTTATTTAACTTGTGTAGTAGCATCCACTGGAATCAAAATCAGACAATAAAACAGGGACATTTTCTAAGCTTGTTACATAAAGCCTCTTCCTTGACCCCCCCCCCCTCCTCATTGTTCCATCTCTGATCTCACCAAAAAGTTTGTAAACGCAAAAAAAAATATTAAAAAATAAAATAAAAATAGTAACACTCTTTGTAAATAGGATAGTAGTATAAAATAAAAATAAATTATTTAAGTGACTAAAGTAACAAATTAAAAAAAACAACATTGCTGATGTTTTATGGATTCGATATTTAAGAGGTGAGGGGTGGGAGATGACACATGCACCAGTTTTTCGCTCCCCTCCGCTGAAAGCAAAGACAAACAGTGGTGTCTCGTGTTACGTTAAACGTTTCGAAAAACGCGGGGTACTATTTTACTACACGTACAGTAAGTCTACATTCCAAACAAGTGAATACAAAAAAATGTTTCAGAAAGTAGCTGAAATACAATGGTAGACAAAAAAAGTTAGACAAACATTAAAAGTGGTCACAGAGACGGAAAGTGGCAAGGATGGATAGAAACAGTGGACAGACTGACATAAACAGTGGCCAGACAGCTATAAACAGTGGCCAGACAGACATAAACAGTGGCCAGATAAACATAAACAGTGGCCAGACAAAGAAACAGTGGACAGACAGACATAAACAGTGGCCAGACAGACATAAACAGTGGCCAGACAGACATAAACAGTGGTCAAACAGACATAAACAGTGGCCAGACAGACATAAACAGTGGCCAAACAGACATAAACAGTGGCCAGACAGACATAAACAGTGGCCAGACAGACATAAACAGTGGCCAGACAAACATAAACAGTGACCAGACATAAACAGTGGCCAGACAGACATTAACAGTGGCCAGACAGACATAAACAGTGGCCAGACATAAACAGTGGCCAGACATAAACAGTGGCCAAACAGACATAAACAGTGGCCAGACAGACATAAACAGTGGCCAGACATAAACAGTGGCCAGACAGACATAAACAGTGGCCAGACATAGAAACAGTGGCCAGACATAGAAACAGTGGCCACATAGACATAAACAGTGGCCAGACAGACATAAACAGTGGCCAGACAGACATAAACAGTGGCCAGACAGACATAAACAGTGGCCAGACATAGAAACAGTGGCCAGACATAGAAACAGTGGCCACATAGACATAAACAGTGGCCAGACAGACATAAACAGTGGCCAGACAGACATAAACAGTGGCCTGACAGACATAAACAGTGGCCACATAGACATAAACAGTGGCCAGACATAGAAATAGTGACCGGACAGATAGAAACTATATAAATAAAACAATGTATTTCTGACCCCACACCCCCTCCCGAATTTCCGCTATTTTGCTTAGTTATTCGACATTGATCTAAAAGTATCCATGTATGCATGTGAAAACCAGCCTTTAAAGATAGCTGCAATTTATCGCTTGTTTGCGTTGTTTTCAACAGGACACTATCAATTACGCATCAACTTTTTACATCACTTTAAGATAACACATCCCAATTACCCATTTTTTCACACTCCTTTATCCCCATTTAGGGACACGCCCACCTCGAGTGACCCATTCAGGAAATGTTGATTGAAGGCCCAATGGAACCACAGCACTGATTCAACACAGTTTTCACATCTAGGTCAAGTTCACCTACCGTCGGCGCCGGACTTTGGACCAACCCATGCGCCTTGGCTAACAGCATACGGCCCCCCTTACAGGTGAATCGGAGCACACTCAAGGTAGGTTAGCCCACTTTCTGGATTAGTGGGTACTTTACCTAGATACGCTTTACACTTAATTGACTTAACCCAATTCAGCGGGAGCAAAATACGTAAAGTTTCAATGGCCTGCCGTACCGGAGGTTGAGAGCACGCAGCAGTTAGGGAGACAAATTAAATCAATGGCGTAGCTAGAGGGGGTGGTGGGGGGCGTTACGCCCCAGGAATTGATTTTTCTCTCTCTAAACCTGTATAAATAAAAAATATTTTATCATATATATATATATATATATATATATATATATATATATATATATATATATATATATATATATATATATATATATATATATGAAGTATTTATCTGGAAATATCACTGAGTTAAAAGAGCTCCCCACCCCATCTCTTTTACTGATTGGGCAACGCCTACGGAGGTTCATGTAAACAAGTCTCAATAGTTATGGGGGGGGGGGGGGGAGGGGGAAGATCCTAATTGCAGTAAATAGGCTAATTAACAAGTTGAGATAAAAAGTAATTACCTTAATTAATTTTACAGCCTAATTAACCACTATTTTGTTTTTGTTGTGCTTAGATAAATAAAAGTGAGGTATTCAAAATAAGCTGAAGTTAGGCAAGATATTATATAATATCCGCACTGCTACTGCTATTGTTAGATTGGCTACCCACACATGTTATGTGCTAGTTAAGCTACCCACACAAGTACACATAAGCTGTGGTAGATTTGCTATCCATATAGTTGCTCGGCTATATAAAGTAAAAGTAAAGTACCCAATCGTAAAGTCCATGGGGCAAGTGAAGTAGAGTTGACTTACTTCAGGGAACTCTGGCTAAAGAGTGGATAGTGTGGTCAGGTATCTTTCCTTAACGTTAGTTGGGAACCCATCAGAGCTGGGTGAACTCAGGGACGTGTTACGGTTTCGCGATCCTAACTGGAGTTTTTCGGGCTATATCTGTTACTCGAATACCAGCATGACTAGATCTGGCTGCTCACACAACCACATATCATGGTCCCTACGCCTTCGTTAAAACTACAGAAAGTGACCCCCCCCCCTCCAAGCTCTTTAATATGTTCCTTTATAATTTCCAGTTGAATTAAATAAAAATACCTTTTTTGACAGTGGATATACGACACAGTAATTTTACAGTTTGATTTATTTAATTAACGTATATGTACGTGAATAATGAAGAAAAGCCAAGTCTTTTAAACTTAAGGGCATTTTATGACTGAAACATTGATACTTTTTATAGAAATGTGGGTCTGTAGTAAGGCCTAGCATTCACTTCTTGTTCTTAGTACAAGGCCTAATTAGGCCTTATGAATTTACCAAAATGCTCATCGTTACTAGACTATTTAGTAATTAGTCAAATAAAATTAATTAATTAATCAAATAAAACAACAAAAAAAGCTGTGTCACAATTTATTTAAATATACATCTGTGTTTTTTTTTCGATATTATATTCCATAAACAAAATAATTTATTTTTGCACAGGTCAGCGAGTAAAATGATTGGACCTTTTATCTTCGCGTGTCTGTTCATCAGCGTACACGCACTGGGGCTCTCGGCAAACTACACACCGGAATATGACGCGTACCTCGATCCTTGCAAGGCCGCAGGCTTCATGCACGACGTGGCCATGGACTACGAGGACTACAATGGCGACGCCGGCAGGCTGATGCTCGAGTTCTTGATGCGGAAGAACAACGACTCTGATCCGCTGCACGAGCTGCAGGTCGAGGATCCCGTCAGCCACCGCGCGCCGAGACACAACTTCCGGTCGCGAGAGGAGAGGATTGTCCAGCTTCAAGCGGATACGGAAGATTTGAAAACATATCTGGAGGCCCAAAAAGCGGATTTGTTGAAACCGTGCAAGCTGAAAAATAAAATCAAGTGCAAGAATGTGAAGAAACAGCTGAAAGACGAGATCAAGGTGACGAGGATGAAGTGGAACCAGTCGAGGAGAGAGTTGACCAGACTCCAGGAAGAGAACCACGCCAGCCCAAAACAAGAAAGCACCGAGGCTGTTCCGTCGTATCGTAAAACGAAAAACAGAAAACGCAAAGTCAGGAAGTCGAAAAGTTTTAAAAAGATGGTGCATTCGAGAAGCCGAAGAGCCGCCACGGCTGTGAAAGAAAGACTTTGGGAGTTCGGCATTATCCCGTACCACATCGAGGCGAAGTTTTCTGCCGCGAACAAGGCTCTGTTCCAGCAAGCCATGAAACACTGGGAGAACTACACCTGCATTGTGTTCAAAGAACGAGAACACGATGATCAGAACTATGTTGTGTTCACGGAAAGCGCTTGCGGCTGCTGTTCGTTTGTGGGGAAACGAGGCAACGGTCCTCAAGGGATCTCTATCGGCAAGAACTGCGACAAATTCGGGATAGTCGTCCACGAACTGGGTCACGCCGTTGGGTTCTGGCATGAACACACGCGACCAGATCGAGACGCGCACGTGCAGATTAATCTGAAAAACGTCATGCCGGGTCAGGAGTATAATTTTAAAATGCTGACACACGGGGATGTGAACTCTCTGAACGAGACCTACGACTACGGGAGCATCATGCACTACGCCAGGAACACCTTCGGCAGGACTACGTACGTCGACACGATCCTGCCTTTGAAAAAACCTGGCATTGTGGTCAGACCGGAAATTGGCCAGCGGGTCCGGCTGAGCCCGGGGGATATCGAGCAGGCCAACAAACTTTACAACTGCCCAAAGTGCGGGCGAACGCTGCTGGAGGCTAGCGACAGGTTCAACCACTCGTCTACAGCCGGGGTCGCTGACCTGTGCCAGTGGCGCATCTCCGCCACCCACGGGGAGACCATCGTGCTCAACATCACCAGACTCAGCTTCTACAAGCGCACAAACTGCGAGACGGACTACCTAGAAGTCAGGGACGGACACTACGTCAAATCCCCCCTGCTCGGCCGCTTCTGCGGTGACCGGACCCCCCCTCTCCTGACCTCGACTGGGCACCGGATGTGGATTGAGTTCCGGTCGAGACACGGGGCGAGTTTTGATGCGGAGTACGAAGCGATCTGCGGAGGGGAGATCAGCAAGGAAGACGGGATGCTTTCAAGTCCGAACTACCCTGACCCGTACAGACCTCAGAAGCTGTGCGTCTGGAAGATCACGGTGGAGGAAGGCTTCACCACGGCGCTCAAGTTCCAGTCGTTTGAGATAGAGAATCACGAAAACTGCGTCTACGATTACTTGGAGGTGCGAGACGGCGCTACGGAACTTTCCCCGCTGATCGGAAAATTCTGCGGCTACACCATCCCGGATGATATTCAGTCAACCGGACGTCATCTTTTCGTCAAGTTTTTCAGCGACGCCTCCATCCAGAAGGAAGGATTCCGGGCGACGTTTGTCAAAGAGTTGGACGAGTGCAAAAACAACGACCACGGGTGTGACCACATCTGCGTCAACACTTTAGGCAGCTACAGGTGCGAGTGCAGGATCGGCTACGAGTTGCATTCGGACGGAAAACGCTGCGAAAACGCCTGCGGTGGGTACATCCACGCCGAAAACGGTACCATCACGTCACCGTCGTATCCCGAGTTCTACCCCGCCAACAAACATTGCGTGTGGCAGATCGTGGCGCCAAGCGACCACAAGATTAACATCAACTTCACGTATTTTGACATCGAAGGCCAAAACCAAGGATGCGAGTACGACTCGGTGATTATCGACCGTGGTTTGAACGAGGAAGGCAAACAAGACGTTTTCTGCGGCAACACCATTCCCGCGCCAGTCACCTCGGAGAAAAACACGCTAAAAATAGAATTCAAATCGGATAGTTCCGTTCAGAAAAAAGGTTTCACAGCTTTCTTCAGAACCGACAAAGACGAATGCGCAGTAAACAACGGCGGTTGTCATCACGTTTGTAAAAACACTGTCGGAAGTTATCACTGCGCATGTCAGAGCGGGTTCACCCTACACGAGGACATGCACGGGTGCAAGGAGGGCGGGTGCCAGACGGAGACTTCCGCCCACCAAGGAAAAATTTCCAGCCCGAATTTCCCGGAAAACTACCCCAGCAAGTCCGACTGTGTCTGGCACATCAGCACGGTGCCGGGTCACAGAATACGCCTGAAATTTCTCGTCTTTGAGCTGGAGCCCCACCAGGAATGCACCTACGACCACATCGTCGTCTTCGACGGTTCCGACAGCACCGCCGATCGTCTGGGAACCTTCTGCGGGGCCGTTGTACCCGACCCCATCATCACCAACACCAACAGCATGTACATCATGTTCTTCTCCGACGCTTCCGTCCAGCGGCAGGGTTTCGACGCCGAGCACGACACCCTCTGCGGGGCGTACATGTGGGCCACGACGGCGCCCCAGACGCTGGTCTCCCACGCCCGCTACGGTGACCACAACTACCGGCACCGCGAGGACTGCGAGTGGAAGCTCCAAGCCCCGGAGGGTTCTCAAATCAGAATCGTCTTCACCGCCTTCCAGCTTGAGCACGAGGCCGAGTGCCGTTACGACAACGTGAAAATCTTCAACGGAAAACAGACGTCTAGCCCGGTCTTCGGTCCGTTCTGCGGCAACGACTTGCCGGATCCGATAGTGTCCGCGACGTCTTATCTAGTTATACACTTCCACTCCGATGATACTCTCAACAGAAAAGGATTTGCATTAACCTTTCAGGCGGTCCTGCCGACTAGTATAGAGGAAATCTAGCCCCCCATGTCCAACACTTGTGATATTTTTTAAAAACTTTTTTAAACCAACCATTTGCATGTTAATGTTGTATGTCTGTTGTGTTAATTGGTAATGTTGTATAAAATCTGTACAAAGTTTCTTTTTTTTAAAAATAATTTTATAATAAAAAAATGAAAGTTTATTATTGAATCCACAATTATAACATTTTAAAAATGTTTTCTTTTTAAATTTTACGGTATTAAATATCATTTGCACCAATGCGTGTTGGTAGTAATATTAAACAATATGACGTTAATTTTTAAAATTTCAACTAATGGACCAAAAACAAAAAAGAAATCAACATACAAAGAACAATAACAAACAAAAAAAAAACCGACCAATAAGCTGATCCAAAACTTTTCTATAAATACCATCAGAGTTTACAATATCAGTTACATAAATAAAGCGTTGAGCTACATTTGATTGGATAATAAAATGATGGACCTAACTGACTAGCGATGTTTCTGATTCACGCGCACAAAATCTGCATTGCTACCAACTTTGGCACACGCTTCTTATTAAAACTTGCCCATTTAATGTTTTTATCAAGTCTCGCCCACAATTAGCCTCAGTCGACGATAGATAGAAGAAAATTAACAAAGTGTCGGGTTTGTTTACAGCATCATAAACGTTGGCACGTCCTGGCTAATATAATTATAAACAAAGGCACATACACATTTGTTAGGACTAAACAGCTCGGCTGGACAGGATCCGATCCTTGAGCGTTACAGTGGGGGAACTGGGGGTGCGGTCAGCACTGGGTGATACCATTTAGGGGGGGGGGGGTGACATTGAATCGTGAAATTATGACGACAATGTTTTATTGAATAAAATACTAAAGGAGAGGGGTGACACCAAATCTAAAATGCAAAATTGTTGGATAGAGGCGTTGTCAATTCTTCAGTTAACCAGTGTTTCAGAAATGTTTTTCCGAGAAGGAGGGGTGGGGGGGGGGGGGGGGCGCACTTGAAACATTCGGCTGACTTAAATTTTCGGGGAGGGAAGATTGGAGGTGGACGCTGGTTGAAATATATATTTTGTAAATAATATCTATTTCGTTCTAAAAAGACAGCACACGATGACATCAAACTGGACCCGGATATCCGGTCATAACAGGCCTTGACCTGTTGACTGACGTAAACCCGGACATCTTGACATAAACATACAACATCCGGCGTGATTACATCCTGCCTCGCGTATCCGGTTATGACACGCGCGCGCACACACACACGCATACACAATATTCTTAAAACTCACAATAAACGAGTTTACAGTGTCAGTTATTATCATAGTTTATTTAACCCCCATCCCCATCATTATTTATTTAACACCACCCCCACCCCTATCATTAGTGTTGCACACAGCACTTTATTAACTGCACTAGACTTTATCTCAATAATTGTTGATTGATAACGTTAGTCTTAGTAATTAATCGCATTACTTGGCCAGATAAACACATTGCTGAACTCTACAAAAAATTACTTTAGTTTTATCTAATGAACTATTGAACTGATTGGCCAGGGACACTGAAGTGACTATGTTTCAAGCTGGGTTATGTTACTAGTTCAGTCAACTCCTACTACGTGTTTTTAACTAACACCGAGGCAAGGGTTCGCAGTAAAAAAAAAATGTATCGGATTGAAATGAACATCAGAAAAAAGACATTAAAAATTTGCTAAATTGGGGGGGGGGGGCTGTCGTCCATTCGTGACGTCATTGATTTGCAGTCGGTTGTTACCCACGTGTTTTTACCTACGTGTCGACGTTATTTATGGACCTCTTATTACGTCGATTTGAGATAATCGCTGCATCAAAAAGCACCGAGGCGCACGCAATAATTATGGCAACAAATGAGGTAAACGACCTGTGAATGCTAGATATTATAGAAGTTGAATTTTCTCTGTTGAATTTTCTGTCAGAAACAATGCTAAAACAAAACAGAGAACATGAAAGAAATGTCATTATATAAAATACAATGAATAAAACACTACATTTAAAAAATGAATTAGATCAATAGAACATTATAAATAAAAAATATATGAAAACATCGTATATCTGTGCAAAAAATCAGTCCAACGGGTAAAAAATGTTTAAAGGGAGGTAACTGTGGTAAAAAAATCTTTAACATTATTAGCCTGGTAGCCTCCCGTGAAATAAAAGTATAACCTCGAAAAGTAAGTATATCTTTACAGTCTAAATATAAGACACCACACTTTTTAAAATCAGCTTTTACCCCAACCACCATCGCCACTGACCATCACAAAAGTCCAACCCCAGAAAGTGACCATATCTTTGGATAACCCCCGAGTATTAACGACGCTAAAGATATAAATCTCAATGGACTAAGTAAGAAATTACGTTTTAAATTAAATATTTTTACATTTACCATGAGGGTAAAGTCTTGGTCTGTTATCAGAAGAAAAAATACCTCACTTATAACCCGTCCCCCAATGTATACAATAGAAGTATTTATAACACAAAGTCAAACATTTAAAGATCTGGTGTCTCCCCCTAAATTGGTCATTTAAGGGTGGACATCATGGATGGAGAAAGTCCTTTCGAATAATACGATAAAGAGCGAAGAAGATAAAGGGACGGCCGTTAATGGAATATGCACATATTCAGAGTTTCTTCCAGGCATCTCTTCTTCTCCTCGAAGGAAATGGAATTTATATAGAAAATATATACTTTTAACAGCATACCTATATATATATATAACCTATATGTATAGGTAGAGGCCTATGTAAGAACACATAGGCTATATATTTATGTAAATGGCAACAATATATTCAAAATATTTTTAAAGTAAAAAAAATAATAAATTACTTGTTTTGCGTCATTTTAGAGAAATATCTTTTATTTGAGTTGAAGAAAGACCAACAATCGTGTAGTAAGGCAAATGTGTCTAAAGATCTTCCAACAATGCCAACTGATTACAAATTAGAAGCAAAAACAGAGTTTGATAACAAAATATTAAGAACACCAAAGGCTGTGTTATATAAAATTGCTCTACACCACTTAACATCCCCCTCCCCTGAACACAATATAACAAAACCACCCGCCACCCTAATCCGTGTTATAAAAATACGTGCACGATTCGTGCCAGATTTTCTACCCTACCAGCAACCATAAATAAACTATCGACGTTTTAAAAGAGCAAACTGCTCACCAGACTAGACGTAGATGTGTGGATGTTCAACTCTAAAATATAGTGCGCAGGCCTAGATTTTTTAAAATGTATCACGAGAGTGCCACATAGTATGAATAAACTAAATTTTAATAATTTTTTCCTCCAGTTGTTTTGAAAACTATAAACAGTTGTCTGCAAATTGTGTTGGGAATCTACACATTGATTGTTAATTTAGAGCACGCTGCTCTCCCCTGTGTTACTACAAATTCAAACAGCAGCGTCGCACCAAACTACTTTTCGATTCTAGGCTAGGTGACGTCATACACTCAACTCAGGAAATGTGCCCAGATACAATCGCTTGCTATATATTAACGTCATTAGATATATAGACCCCCCACACTCTGTTTATAAGAAAAAAAAGTTAATTAATTTTATGAACGTCATAGTAAAAAGAAACGGCTGGAACGAATTTGACACAATCTGTGACTTTATTACTTTCATGGTTTCAAAACATCACCACGAGTTCAATAGCTTACTGAACCACTTTTTTCCTCCCCACCACTTGTCCAAAAAACGTGACGTTTATCAAAGCTTTAACATAAAATTGGAGGAGTGGGGACGAGGGGGGGGGGGGCTATATCTATATTTTCAATTATATTTTTTTTAAAAATAGCTTTAAAAAGAAAAAAAAAGGTTTCAAGACGAAGACTGATGCAAAAGTATTGATAAATAAAGCCAAGATTTCTTATATCAGCAGCACAATTTATTACGAAATAAAAAGCACAATAATCAGAAACAAATCTTGAAAACTAGGTCAAACTATTATTAGCTTTTTTGTATTGAGCTGGTACCAGCTGGTTTAGGTCGATGTCATGTGTTCAGCCGTGTATCAAATCAAATCGGATTGTAAAAGCTGTACCAACCTAAACGGCTGGCAAGTTAGGAGTCGACCAGGGGCGCCGAGCCAGATTGTGAGCATTAATGGTAATAATTATCAATAAAAATCTTAAATGAACAAAGAGAGGGAGTTATCGGTCCATGTTCAGTTGAACAAGCAACTGAGAAATGACTAACAGTTACACTTCTTGATTTATTATTTACGGTAGACTGTATTATTAACCGTCAGAATGTTAAGTCTAATTTAAAATAAAACGTATGCAGTGCATTTCAAATGGACCCCACCCTCCCCGCCTGAAGTGACTCTTACGCAACTTTAGGTCGATCAAAGTAGAGCACAGAGTTTAAATACATTGACCCTAAGTAGGCTTTAGACTTTAGGCGCTTTATAGGAGGTAACTGACCTACATTTACATTCCCTCCCTTCTTAGTTAATTCACATTTTAAAATTCGGATTTTAAATCAAATATGTTTTAATTGCAGCTAGATTCTAGATCTATTTAATCATATTCAGATACTACCACAGTTCGTTTAAAAAATAACATAGATGTAAAAGAATTCTTGATCTAGATTTGCATTGAACATTTTTCTTTCTTCAGATTGGTGTCATTGAGTTTTATTATGTAGATCTAGCTTTTTAAACACTACAGCTTACTAGACCTTGCCAGTTTGGCTTACTGTGTTATATCACAAATTAGGCTACAGAACAACGAATAGCTAAAAAAATTCTTATCGAAAACCTACGTAAGATGCATTTAGGATTACTGTGTATTTTCGATCAGTGGACTTTATGTGAAACCTAGGAAATCACACACTTATTTTAGGATTATTCGTTTGGCTCAGCACGACTGAAGTTAAAGGTTGGCAAAATAAAAATAAATGACTAAGACACCTTATTTATGTTTTAATTTGCTTGCTCCGTTTAAATAATTTGTGAAGTTATTTATAAACCCGTGTAGTCGTAGACGACACACCATACAAATACTTCAAAATTAGGCCAAAAGGTAAACGTCTAGACTAGCTAGACTAGATGTGTTTGATAGTCTAAAATCTAAATTCTATAGTGTATGACAGTGTTTGTATGTCCTATGCCTATGTCATGTCAAGTCATTTCGGTATTTGTGACTCTATAGTCCTAGATTCTAGATCTAGATCTAGATCTAGAAATCTAAATTCTAGATCTAGATCTAGATTAGATTCTAGATTTAAATTTTTAAATTGTAATTTAGTAAATTTAGGTTCTAGAATCTAGATCAGCCAGATCTAGAATCTAGATCTAGTGAGTGCTAGATTCTACTCTAGATCTAGATTAGATCTAGCTAGAGTCTAGACTTAGATCATTTTAAATATTTAAATTTCATGCTAAGGTTAAATTTTTAATTTAGACTTTGTGGTAAAAACAATATTCGTTATGTTATTGTTTGTTCATTATTTTATAATTTGTAGGGCCTAATTGACAATAATTGCCATAGAATGTCTGATGTCTTTTTATTTTTTAAGATTATAAGATCTATCTTCTATACTAGTCTAAACTATAGGACTATATATAGGCATAATACAATAAAGGCTAATAGTAATAGATCTAGATCTAGGCCCCTAAGTATAATCTCTAGATCTAGATCAAACTAGATCCTAGGATTACATACTAATTAAGTACATATATCTACTTTAGTAGTACTACCAGAAGTGCTGTGAAGCAGAAGTGGGGGGTGCGGGCTGCACTGGGTGACACCAAGACAAAAAAAGTGCAAGATATATAAATCTAGAACAAATATTTGTCAGTTCAATGAGTGGTTTATTATAGTTAAAAAATATTTAAGTACATAATCACAATCGTGATGGGGGGGGGGACGGCGATGACACCATGACGTGAACATGCAAACTCTAGAGAGAAAACAATGCTACCACAGACTGTAGATAATCATCATTAGTATTAAAAAAGAACAAGTTAAAGCATTTACCAAGGGGGTGGGGGGGGGGGTGTTACCAAGATACCAACTGCAAAATTTACAGAGGGAAAAAAGCGGGGGGGGTGGGGGGGGGGGTGACACCATGAGATGCTACAGCGGGGGACATCTGACCTAGCAACGCCACTGCATACTACATATTTATCAAAATTATTAGCGTCTTAGATAGGACCACTAGAGTAGTAGGTCCATAGAACAAGATTGATTAAAGTAATTTAGTAAAGCTAGCCAAAGTGAAAGTTCAAAGTAGCGTTACAGTGTAGATTGCTGGTTGATTTTCAATCTATTATAATATTACTGAATACCCAGTTTACTATATATTCCCATGGGAAAGTGGGTAATTCATAGATCTAACCCCTGAGAAAGAAATTAAATAAGAAATAATTTCAACTCGGAGGCAGTTTATTTCAAACATAATTGAAAGCCAAAAAAATAAATTATTTTAATGTGTAAATATTGAAAGTGAAGGCACAGTAATTAAGACAAAAAAATACACTCACGTGCAGCCAAACTAGTACCACTGTTGAGTCCTATCCGTAATAAAGTCAAAGAGCATTTAGAATTTCCTTCGTATAGATCTAGATATGCAATCAAACTTAAAAGCAATTTTTTCTACGAATTAACCATTAAAACATATCTTTTTTAAAGTTCTCATCGCACTTAAAGCAGTACCAACTTGTTGTTTTCTCTCTTTAGAACTGAGTATGTTATTTGATTGCTTTATTGGCTTGTAGACTTACACTTAATTCTCTTGTAAATTTTCATGGTTTGATTATTCATTCAACAATTTTCTATCGGTAAACTTAAAAAGCAAAATGAAGGTAGTACAAATAGCATACTGGTACAAATGTCCCACCTCTACCTTACGACTACTAGATATAGATTCTAGATAAGATTTAGAATAATCAAATCTCAAGAGTAGATATCTAGATTTAGAGTAGACTCTGACTGCCTATCTAGATCTAGAAAAGTTGGTAGTAAGCCTGTCTCTAGACTTACTATAGGTAAATCTACTATTTTTTTCTAGTCAGCTCTTTATTATTATTAAGTTAGCTTGTGAATTGTAATTGATTGTTTTTTAAGTGAAGACTTTGAACGAGTGAATGTTTAAACAATGTACATTGTACACGATTTATGACTTCTTGTTTGATTTGTTATGAATTTATAAATTGTTTACATAGAACTGACAGAAACTTCTTTATTTAGCTTCATGTAATTACATGAAGAGGCTATGTAAAGGCCTGTAATTTTAAAATTAAAATATTGCCAAAAGCACCCAATTTTACATTTAAGCAGTATTGATACAGAAAATACTATTAACTTAACTAATTAAGTTTTAGAAATGTTTTATGTTTGTTACTGTTTTTTATAAACTTGTTTCCATACTGTGCCCTTAAACTCATAAAAATATTTAAATATATTTTAAAATGTATAGCCTTGCTGCTGTTTTAAAAAAAATCTTTTATATTTTCACCCACAGGCTGATGAATGACCTGCTGTTTACTGAAAGCTAAATTATACTTGTAGCCTGATGTCTACATTTATAAGGAAGTTTCACCAGTAAGTTCTTTTAATGGCTGCAACTATCCCTAGAAAGAAAATGATGAATGATGTTGGCTACTATTCAGAATTTTCCACTCCCAGTAAGGTGAGCTTGCAGCAGAAGTTGTCAAACATCCAAACGGTCATTGCTGCAACACGTAAAACTCTAGAATCAATCAACGAAGCTTTTAGTAACCACCAGCGCCCTCCGTCGATTTACATCAAAGAATATGAGAGCCTTACAGATAAGATACACAAGTACCAGTTACAAGAGCAGCAACTCCTGGATCAAATGGGGCAAGATTTAGTTGACTCACCTGTACTGACAGAACGTGCGCAGTCGTACAATGCAGAGAAAGACAATATGTCTCTTGCGTCTTCTGTCAGTTCCTCCAGCCCGACCACCAAAACTTTTCCCAACCCTCTGATCAAAGTTTATCTCCCTTTAAATATGACTACCACAATACGGGCAGTCCAAGGGAAAACTTTGAAAGAGGGGCTGATGAAGCCGATGCAATTGCGAGGATTTCACGCCGACGGGTGCCAGGTGTTCCGAGACAAATCAAGGAGTATTCTTTTGAGCTGGAGCACGGAACTTGGTCAGTTGGCTGGTCAGGAGGTGTACCTTGACATCAAAGAAGTGGACGACAATTCGCGAGTGCGTCTTCCTTACAAGGATATATTTGCCCACAACTACGTAAAGAAAACCCACTTTACTTTGACCTACTGTGACGTTTGTCACAACCTGATGTTCCAGAGCCTCCAGTGCCAGGCGTGTGGGCATAAACGTCACGCAAAATGTGAAGAGGGCTTCACGTGTCAGGACGCCCTTGTTAAATATCTCAGCACGGTCAAAAACCCCCATATGTTTCCAGATATCAATAGTGCTCCGATAAAAAAGAAACAGGACAGAGAAAGCCTTTATTCATTTGTAGAGCCTAATTCTTTACAACGAAAGAGATCGCCCTCTGTGCCTGATTTCAACCTTACTATACAGAATGAAGAACTTTCTACCAAAAATGATATAATGCGCTCAAATAATTCACTGAGCTCTAACGATTCCAATGCTTTAGCAGTCAAGCAGAGATACGTTGAACGAGATTCCATCGGTGATTGGGAGATTCCTAATATGAATATTGTGTATGAGTGTAAAATCGGTTCCGGATCATTTGGCACGGTCTACAAAGCGCACTGGCATGGCCCAGTGGCTGTGAAGAAATTAAATTTTACAGATCCCACGCCCAGCCAAATCCAGGCATTTAAAAATGAAGTGTGTGTGTTGAGAAAAACCAGACATAACAATATCCTGCTGTTCATGGGCTTGATGACGACACCGTACCTAGCCATCGTCACTCAGTGGTGTGATGGTGACAGCTTGTACACCCATCTACATGTGAAGGAAACAAAATTTCAAATGTTTCAGCTAATTATGATTGGCAAGCAGATAGCTCAGGGCATGGATTACCTTCATGCTAAATCAATCATTCACAGGGACTTGAAATCAAACAATATTTTTCTAACAGAAATATTCCAGGAGAACATGACAGTGAAGATTGGAGATTTCGGTCTTGCGACAGTCAATAACATGCAGGAGACCACGGATATGTCTCAACAACCCACCGGCACTATTCTGTGGATGGCTCCAGAGATCATCCGTATGAATGTCCCCAACCCATACACTTTCCAGTCCGATGTGTTTGCCTTTGGTATCGTGGTGTTCGAACTCGTCACCGGAACATTGCCGTATGCGAAGATCAACAACAGAGAACAACTTTTATTCATGATCGGCAAGGGGTATTTAAAGCCGGACATCAGCCTCTGTCGCAACGACACCCCCAAACAAGTGAAAATTCTTATGCTGAGCTGCACCAGCTTTAACCGTGACGAGAGGCCCCTGTTCCCCAATGTCCTCTCTACTCTACAGAATTTGTACTCCTGCATCCCAAAAATTAAGCGCAGCATGTCGGAGCCAGCCGTTCTGTCATCAGAGTCGTCGGAGTTCCAGTGCGATATAGCTTACAATACTGCAACTTGATTTGTTTACACCTATAATCTTCAATTCTAAGTCTCCTCTTAACTAAATCTACATTAAAATTTTAAAAATATTTTCATGTTACAATCGAATACGTAATTTAATATTTTTTATTCTTTACAACTGACGTTATGATAAAATAATGGTTAGTATTCAGATGAAATGTCTGTGAAGTCTTGATTTAATAATTTTAATGTATACTTGATTTTACTTGATATTGTTGGCTTAGCTAAACACACTGTTGGTCTTTTTTTTTTTGGCGCTTTCCATTCCGATTTAACAGCTTTAAGGAAAGGTAATGTTCCAGCTCTCTGACCCTATCCATTCTTATCATTGTTCTGTTTATGTGCTCGTTGAACATGAAGGTAGTCAAAAAGTGCAGTCTAGGAAAAAAAAATGAAATTGAAGTACTAACAAAGAAATCATTTCTTATTTTTATATAGTAACTACTATATAAAGTTAAATTAGAAACAGCAGATCATATTTCAAAATGTACTTAAATTATTTTTTTACAGAAAGTAATTTCGCATTATGTAAGTTTTAATTTATTCTATGCAACAAAATATTTTAATTAGAATATGATCTCATCTTAAACAAGACTTGGTGTACTTTTTGCACTGGGGGAAGGAGGAAGTAGTTTTAGTGGAATGTCTACATAGTAATATTATCAGATTAATGTTTAATCCTTTTCATACATGTAATTGTTTGGACATATTTGGTTAAATATAAAGATAGCAACAACAACATGATTTTTCCTGCAGTGGTTTTTACACATCAGTGTTTGATTTCTGACCCACTGCAAATGTATGCCATCACTTGGAAGGCATACATCATATTTGCTTTTCAAAGATTATTTGGTGCTATGTTACTTGCAACGAATGTATGAAATGTGGTGAAAATTAAATTAAAACAAAATATTGGTCTTTCAAATCGGAGACCAAAGTTGTAACAATATCCACAATGTCCAGCCAGCACAACTACATCAGCTGTTTACTGTATGTTAGAAAAGTAATCTGTAAGTGAACACATCTTTGTGATAACTTGGTGCTGTGATTCTCATTGTGGCAACCTTGTGCTGTGGTCGTAGCAACTTTGGTGCTTCCGAAAACTGTTTATTATTTTCAGAAATGTTTTTGACATTTGAAAATGTCACAAAAGTCGATCCTCTCTTTAGATTAAATTGGAGTTTTACAATTTCCTTTATCATAGGATGTTAAATATTTGGTTAGTATTTTAGAATACATTTTTATGTGTTGTAAGCGAGGTGCCTTAAATTCTTGTATGCTCATTATGGCAATAACCCCTAAAAACCTTGTCTAATCTTGGAATGAGTGGGCTGGTGTTATTTAAAATAAACACAACAACTAAGCAATATGATACAAACAAGATAGTTGCTAAACCTGACATTTGATTTCTCTATTTGTTACATCACTGATGTTTTTGTCTTACCTATGGGTTAACACTGGGTGAGTATTTGTTTCAATAAAGTTACCAAGCAATGTAGAAGTGTGGTATCTGGATAACTGTGAGAGTATTTTTGTTCTATTAAAGTTCCCAAGCAATATACCAGTGTGTTTTATATAGACTTATATATATAGAGCTTATATTCAATTCTATACATTTTCCAAGCAATACAGCAGTGTGGTATGGGTAAGCCAACAGTATCATTGTATTTCTCACTTACGTTTCCAGTGGGAAATGTGTTATACCAAAAAAAGTAAATGTTAAACCCACCTATATGATATTCTACTTGTTGTGTGCATTAGTTGTTCACTTTGTGATAGCAAATTTGTTATTTGTTGATTTACAAGTTATCTGTGACAAACTTCTTATATTTCAATTTTAAAAATGTATCATTTTTTTTTATAACTTATTGATTTTATTGTCGAATATTATAGTTTAAAATATGAGAAGCCATTTTTTCATTATAAAATGTCATGCACATATGATATAACACAAAGAAAAGTAGGTGGTTTATTTGAGATAAATGTAATTTGGGGTAGGTGGTCTTTATAGAGCAATGTTATGCAGTGCTGCCTTATATTTTCTTTGTTATAATTTAAAATTTTTATTATCTGATGTTTAAATAAGTTGACACTACTGGCATACATATTCAGTCTTTTAACCCTTTCCCCGGCGACTGGGTGTAATCGACCCGAAGTCGCTATATTTTTGCTCATATCTCGAGTCTCGTTTTATAAATTTTTCTGGGCCTCATTCCCATCTATAAGGTGGTTGGGATGAACACATTGGAGGTTGTAAATTTTAAAAATATGCTTAAAAAATTTTTTTATGAGGGTTTGAAATTTTTTTATACGGTCCCTGGCAACTGGGTGCTACACACCCGTACACAATTTTGAATGGAAAAAATATTTATAACTTATAAACTGGCTTCTAACAATTTGTTTTTACTCATTGTGGGTTAAGTCATTGTGTTACATATTCAAAGTTTAACTATAAATTAACAATCTGAAGGTATTTGAGTAACAAAAATATCAAACCGGATTGAAGTAATCAACTTTAGTAACAAAATAATAGAACATTAACATGTTTTAATAATTTGCACCTCAGAGAGCACAGTTGTTAGTTAAAATTAAAATAACTGGACATTTCCTTTTGCTGGCAGGGAACTTTAGTTTTCTTTGACAAAATATGGGCACCCTTTTAGTGGTGTTACATGAGTCACAGGTCCAAAATATTTTAATTCCATACTTATCGGAATTGCTTGGTATGTATTGGATAAATCTACTCCCACCTCTAAAATCAACCACTTGCTAATTAGTAATGATCTCTCCAGAAACATAACACCTTTCTAAATTTGAATGGAATATCTACCATAATGGGAGCAAATATACAATGAGCCTGAGGGACTGTTAGTTATTGTTGTGAAAGTGAATATGACCCAGAAGGTTGCTGAATCTCTTCGTAGAAAATTCTGCCTTCAAAAACTTCCATAAGCAGAACTGAATTGACATACAACCAAATTGTTATTCTGCAGAGTGCCAGTGTCTCCTCTTGCTTTCTCTCCATCCCTGCTAATGCAGTCAAATATTGGTTGTATTATTTTTTGTATTCATGCACAGAAGAAATATTTAGGGTCAGGCTGTTTATAAATTTCCTGGGATTAGCACTTCAGGCAGTGGTCTAGTGTACTGTTACTTTGTCTTTCCTGAAAATATTTCTTTTTTTTCACTTTGCATCAGCCTTTTCATTTTATTATGAGTGCCAACTGTTGACACATTATTGATAGTTGAAATGCAGTATATTGGGTAGACCTCATCATCTATCAATGGCTGCCATTCTTCATCTTCTAACTCTGATACTAATGGCTGCCGTTCTTCATCTTCTACCTCTGATACTAATAGTTCAGACTCAAAACTTGTTGGTCATTTTCACCTGCTATACTAAAACTGGCAAATATATTCCTTTATCATTAGCACTTGAGTTTAGACAAAAGCGTTCAAGACTTGTTTCTGTTGTGCTCTCAATAACGTTTGTGACTATTTATAAACCTTACTCTTAGGGTCACAACCTGTAGAACACCCCACACTCCCAGTTTGATCAATTCATTGCCCAGTATCAACTTTCAAGCAGCATTACAAAGTTGTTTTGCCTTTTTGTCCTCATTTGTACTCCTAATGAGGTTAATGGCAAGTTACTCTAAAAGGCTTGAATGTCTCTATCTACATTCCAGAGCTCCCTAAAAGAGTACAAATCACTATATATGTCCTCCCACAGGCAATCTTACCCCTGCATTTCATTAACCTATTGTAACACTAAACTACAGTTCTGTCTGTAACTGCAAGTCAGAGCTCCAGCAAAGAGTATAAATCACTGGATGTGTCCACCCACAGGTTAACTCTTGCTTGAGAATCCCATCAACCTGTAGTATCATATTACAGCTCTCCCATTGACAACAACACGTCTTGTGTTCCCCAAGGCCACAATGCCCTGAATACCTTAACTGTGTCAGTATTGTTACCCACCCCACAATGAAGAAAGAAAAGAATTTACTATAAGAAAGTCTTTGGGTGTAATCCACCCAGTTGCCGGGGACAGGGTACCAAATATGTTGCCGGGGAAAGGGTTAACTTTATAATATAAGGATCTGCAGTTGTTACTAATGCAGGTGAAGCTTATGATTAATATTATATTTGACATAATAGACAACAATAACACCTATAAACAATGACATTTTTGTGTTATATAATATGTGCATGATCTTCAAGCATTTGTTATAAAAGTATGATAATACCTGATGGCCTGTAATTATAATAAGAAACTCATAGTAAAACATGTATTATTAATTTTCTTTTATGATTCAGAGAAATATGATAATACAAGTCTTTAAATTTAGTAATATGAAAAGTAAAACAGGGTATCACGATTATTTTTAATACAATTCTTTTTGGAACTATTGTTTTGTTTTTTTGTGTTGTTATCTAATATTTGTAAAAAATAATGTAAAAAAATTGCATAACTTTTAGAATGTAATGTGCATAAGTTTAAATACTTGACATGCATTATAATTTGTTAAATGCTGAAGAAATTAAGGTTTTAGTTAGATTATGAATAAAAATTTACCTTTATAAACCTAATTTCCTCTTTCAACCTGATAATATTTAAAAAGTTAATGGTATCTGCTTCACAGTGATCATTAGTGTTACACATACAATTTGAAAAATTCATGGCATTAATATAAGTTGGAGATTTTAAAAAGTTGATAGTGAATTTGAAGTATTGCAGTGTACATTATTAATGTATATGATGTAAACAATAATTAAGTAAAGATATTTTTTTAAAAAAAAAGCTAAACTAGTTGGACTGTTGTAATTGACTTGAAATTGAAAATTTAGATTTTAAAAAAAAATTCAGTTTTGATAAAATTGAAATTTCCTGTTTTAAAAAAGAAATTTGAAATAGAATAAAAAATAAGTGTATAACATTAAATATTTGAATTGTATTTTTTAAAAGTTGTTTCTAATAAAAAAATAAATCAAAAGTTCACTACATTTTAAATAAATGTAAATACATTTGTAAATTTTTTGAAACTTTAGTTTTAATGTTGTTTTTTTAAGTGTACATTTCTTTACCACTTCTCCAAAGACAAAATCAACATGTTTCACTTCCTTATCCTTCATTATTATTGAAATAAAGGATCATTCCAATAGAGAAAATACCATCTTTGATTCCACCAAGCATTGTCTATATTTTAAAAGAATCATTTTCTTAAATCTATAGATATTCCATTAGTCATCCATATTTTTAGGTTGTGTTTTAGTTACATACGATTTTATTTTACGTTCTAAATAAAAAATAAATAAGGAGATAGCTTAACATATTTCTTGCCTATATCTCCCTGTATGTGATGTCTTAACCAGTAGCTATTATTGTGACTAATTTATGCCCTCTTTATAATGTTATATGTAGCCATTTATTTTTAAGAAAAGTTTGGCCAGTTATATATAATATATACTGATTAAATTAGCATATTTTAAGCGTATTATGCTTACTTGTTTTCTTGCTTCATTCCGGTATTTAAAAGAAAAACTATTGTCTCCCTTATTTCAAATTGTCTCTCTTTGTTA